GTGAAAGAAATTAAAAACTTCAATTAAGGAAAATCTAGAGCATAAGGAATACAGGAGGATCACTTTTGTTTTTGACTCTCACTAGCCTGTTGTAACCTCATTCATTAAATCCCTCTCTTTATAAAACTTTTAGCTTGCAGTTCTTAATGAAGCCATTCACATACCTGTTTCATTCCCAACCACAAGTTCCCTCTCCCAACCACTCTATCTCAACTATCTTTATTTTGCCTTCATGCTCATAGCCAGTAACTTATATTTATGAGCAATGAAATGCCACTTCACTCTGCTCCCTGAGGGTGCTGTTGGGAGCATATAATATTATCTGCCTATTTTGTAAACTCTTCAAAGCATTTTCTAAGAATAATTACAGTACCCATTCCATGTACTATTGTGGTTACAGTAGCAGAGTTTGACACTAATGCCACATTAGGAAGAGGTAAGGAAATACACATTGTAGAATCACATTCTTCATTCTACCAAGCTGACCTACTGGAAGGTTCTTCCCATGGCAGAGGGGTTGGAACTGGTGTTTAAGGTCCCTTCCAGCCCAAACCATTCTGTGATTCCATTATTTTCAACACAGTACTAAGGAACTAGTTTGTCAGTGTCTGAGGCCATGGCATATGCTCTGCATCCTTACCCAATGTACATGACAGGGTTTATTAAAGAAGAAACAGCATGTGCATATCCATGCTAATTTTGGATTTTCTTTCTTCAGGTTAAATGAAGGAGATGCTTACTATGCACTCAAGGAGTTTGTACTCATCATTAAGTCTATTGGGTATGATAAACTTGTGGTTTCTACCATACAATAGGTATTTCATCTTTAAAGCAATTTAAAATTAAATGTCTTCTTTATTTTTTTTTTAACCCCAGCACATCACTGAGTGAACTGTGTGATGATCCAGATGACAACGTTCTGCTGGCATTTCAACAACTGGGTGAAATCTATGCAAAGAAACTGCAGTGTATTATCTGAAGATAAAAGGGGGGTGTGTGTGAGGAAGCAGCAGTACATAATAGTCTTATCACACAGATCAGCTGCCTTTTAAGTTAGGAAGTGACTAGGTCAGAATCATCAAATATGTTTTATAATCAAGTTTTAGTAATATCCAATACTAGTAATACAAAGTTTACTTCAGAAAATGAACCTTCATATATTGACATTTTAAATAAATAATGACTAAGTAACTGTTTCTCATAGGTTAAGAAATGAGGTAATGGCACTTTTTTTTTTTCCCCAGGCAGTGATATGCATGTTAATGTAGTTCTCAGAAACAAGCTGAACAAATGTCGCAGTTCTGACAACTGGTGAGATTAGCCTCTCAGTAGGACAGCACTGGAAACTTTCAGCATATTTGTGAAGGATGTTCAGCAATTACTTTAGCAATCATAATCAAATAGATTGTTTTAATTATATTCCAAGGTTTCTATGAAATTCTGAAGTAGTACCTTCACGAATCATTATAAAAACTTTTAAACTAGTCTGCAGTTTTAGTCTACAAAATTTAAGTATAAAGAGTTTTATATCAGTACAATGTAGTATGATTAATAAAATGTTACAACCATATCTAGAATTGTTTCATTTTTAACCCAACCTGTCCACAAGAGTCAAAAAGATTCAGGATACCTCTACCATACTGGTCAAAAAGTCCCTTGCAATACAAATTACTGAGTTTAGTGAAATATATTTCCTAACTATTCTCTTGGGTTTTGCTGGAAATAAGAGTTTTCAACAATATTTTCATATGTCGTGGTTTAAACCCTAGCCAGACAGCTTGTTCACTCACTCCCAGTGAGTGGTGCCAGGCTGGAAGCAATCGAGGTCCCGTTCCCCCCCCCCGGGGGCTCTCCTCTCCCTGCTCCCAAAGGGATGGGGAGGAGAATCGAAAGGGTGCAACTCCCATGGGTTGAGACAAGAACAGTCCAGCAAACAGTGTACAAATCACCACCGCTACCACCAACTACAACAATGATAAAGGAAAATAACAAGGGAAGAGAATACGATACCACCGGCCAAGAAAGCGAGTTCCACCCGGAAGCCCCTGTCCTTCCGGGTAACTCCCAGTTACCCCCCACCCCGGGCATGACGTGCTGTGGTATGGAATACCTCCCCGGCTAGCCCGGGTCAGGCGCCCCGTCTCTGCTTCCTCACAGCTTCCCCTCCTCCCTGGCAGAGCATGAGCCTCACGGAGTCCTTGGTCAGGGTAAACATCACTTAGCAACAACTGAAAACATCGGTATCACCAGCACTGTTCCCAGGCTGAAGTCAAAAGACAGCGCTGCACCAGCTACCAAGAAGGAGAAACATGACTGCTACTGCTGAACCCAGGACATCATATTATTACTGAAAACTCTTCAGTTGAACACTACATTTTAGTGTACTTATAGTCTGAAAAAATATTACATACATACTAATGCTCAGGTAGCCTTGGAGAATTAGGCTTTATCAACAGTCCTCATTGTCATGCACAAATTTATAGTGATGACCAAGACAGTGATGCAAATTATTCTCTGTTGATAATGAGCAAAATGTGCATTAAGGACAATTCAGAATTCCATTTCTTCAAATTACCTCTGGTGTTTAAATGATCATCGATGAAGTCTGTAACCTGAAATCTCTTTAGGCAGCATTAAACTACATGCAAGATGGTACATACTGGGGGAGGGAAACCTGTACGTAATCAGGTAGCGCAGCTTAACTACCATCAACTGACTTCAACTTCTTCAGTGTTTTTACTGTGTGAAACAAAATGATGACAGAAATGGATCACAGTGGTAGAAAAAGACTGATCTAACTCTGCCTGGAAAATAAAATTTACTCAAATTATTCTTTACTGTCTGGCAAGTCATGCCATATGCAGATACATCTTCTACAGCTCTTCCTCAACTAGGGTAAAAATGGCCTCATTTATACCTTTCCATGTTCATGTTTCCCAAAATAAATGAAGTAATCTTTTTAATTGATTAATTCAATTTAATTTTAATTTAATTAATTGACCAAGGAATAAAGTCAGAAATTGGTCCTACTGTGTTCTCCACTATTTGACCAGTAAGCGTGAAATCCTGGCTGAAAAACAAACTTACTAGATCTGTCACACTGTACTAATTTTATATGCTGAAAATCGTTATGGCTCTTAAAGCATCAGCAGTATATGGAAAGCACCTCACTCCTGTTACAGCTTTTAGTAAGGAGTCGATTAAGTTACACTGACCAAGGAATCAACTTGTGAAACTTCAGAAAATCAGCAATTCTACTTATCTGTTACCTGGTGGACTATAATTTCTGTGACCCATAGCGAGAGAAACAGCTTGCTTACCATTTACATGCCCTGGAAAACCTGAATGCTGAGTTATCGGGCACTTAGACAACAACTTGCCATGTTTGAAAAGCAGTCCTAAGACTGTACTGAACTCACATACCAACAATTTCTGCTCTCAAAACCAGTCTATCATAGTCTATTTGCTTTATGGTAACAGTGTCTTCTCACTAAAAGATGAGGTATCTGCTTTAAAGTTAACTTTACCAAACTCTCATGAAACATTACTAATAGAAATGAACAGACAAGATGCTGTCTTAAGAAACTCAATAGGGTTTCTGAATCACCCTTACTCATTAGGATTAATTTTTTGTCCCTGTAGCAGAGAACAACCATTTTCTACAACCTGGCAACAAGTTTTATAGGTGCCTTATCTGTCTCTAAAATTGTTCCACTTTGAGATCAACCTCCATCCATGGCACTGGGCCATTATCATGCTCAGCCTTTGTTTTCCAGTGATTTAATGCAACACCCTTTTAACGCTTCTCTCCTACACATGCAGAACATGACAAGAATGTCTACTGCTATAGAGCAATACTTAGCAGAAAAACTGACATACAGTAAAACTTAAGAGATGAACATAACAGTAAAACCAACAACAGAGTTTTCAGCACCTTCCTTACTAGAAGGCAGATGCAAAAGGAAGATAGTAAGTTTTATAAATTCTAGAAACCATTTTTCAGCACTTTTAATGGAGGAATGCACTGCCACAGAAAAACTGAGGCAAAGAACTTAACTCAAATTAACTTGAAATGAGGCCACATTTTCTAAACCAAGAACAGTATTTCTAAGTATTCTGTCATAGTATGTATATTGGTAAGCTTTACAGAGATTTAAACTTAAGTAATATTTTTCTTATGAAGTTACGAAGATAACTTCTAGTTGACAGTGAAAAACTCTAAAGGGATATTAAACATTAAAATGGTATTTTTGCCCTCACTTCCCATCATATTTCAAAGACTAACAATTCAATGAGATCATTAATACAGTGAGAAATGCTGTTTTCCTTTTTTTCCTACGATTACACAAATTTTAAAAAGATTTTTGTGGTTTAAAAGCTACATCCTCCTAACACTTTCACCAAACAGCAAGTTAAGATCTTGCCCACTGACTCCCAAACTTGCCGAAAGCAAGTGAAAACTACTTGTGACAGTTTTTTTTCATAAAGGCAGCATTTCCAAGGTACAGCTGACACGCTTCTGCAATGTGCAACAAAACCACTGATGTGGTGCTTCAATTTCAAAAGCCTAAGAGAAATTGTTGAGATGTCACTAGGAGCTAGACCCTCAATATACGTTGAATACAGCATTGGGAAAAAAACCCCAAACCCACAGCTAAAGGGAGATATGCAACCCAATTTTCAGTATATGCCCTTCAAAATGCTTTATTCTCTCTGTGGCTTTCCTCCTTCCCTCCCTTCCCGTGACAAGAATGCTAGTGTCTGTGCTCTCTTACTAATGTAACACTAGTGCACGTGCTGCTGTACTGAAACATCAACACCCTGCTCCTCGTCTCTGAGGCTTCATTGAACCCACTGCCTGAGCCACTCCCATCCCCATCCTCCCCCCCCACACCCACCCACCCAGGTGGCACTTCTCTGAAGGTCTGCATTCCTGAAGATACAGTACGTATGGCCAGACTTTGATAACAACAACTGTCAAATGACAGGTATCCCCCAACTTCTTAATGTGTTCAGGAACATTTATTTAATTTCAGCCTATTTTAGTACAGCTACCTTCCATTTCACTCTCTTGTCATTTCTCAGATTTTATTCTACCAGATATTTTGTTTTCAGAAACAGAAAAATGTTCTGATTCACTGCTGCTAGCAGTAGAGACAGATGTTTGACTTAGCTGTTCCGTGTCGGAATCGCTGTCACTTGGCAGTCCTCCTATCTTTTTTACCATGAACACAGAAACTCCTGAAGATGGATCATTGCATGCGCCAAGACCAGAACAAGATGCATTCTGACATGGTACAGACTCAGGCTCATCTTCCCTTCTAGGACAGGAACAGTTGTTTTCAGCAACAGTTTCACCTTCTTCCTCTTTTACTTTTGTTTCTGGTTTTGTTGCTGTAGGAAGTTGAGTGGAAGATGCATTCTCATATTTAACAGGAAGGATGGCTGAAGACAAAGGCTGACTACAAGAATTACTACCATCAGGAAGTGTCCCTGCACTTTCAGTTTTCTTAGATGAGTTCATAGGAAAGAGTGAACCTTCACAATTTGATTGACTCTGTCTAGAAGCAGGCTCCACATTCTCTGGAGATACAGGCTTCCCTATATTCAGAGGTGTTTCGTCAGAGTTCATCTGCTCTTCTTCAGTACCATTTCCAGGCAGAACCATGCAGGAAGTCAGTGAACCAGAGGTATTTCTGGCAGTATTTCCAAATGAAAACACTGGTGAGGGCAATGAGAAACAGGTATTTTTGAACGAAAATACAAAATTAGCAGGGAGGACGGGAGACTTGGTGGCATTCACCCCAGCTGCAGTCTTGGTCTCTGAAGTATTACAAGCTACAGCTGTGGCAGATTCTGAGGTGTTGGCTTTTTGTTCCCCTGAGACACATGGTTTCTGTGTTCCATATCCTGCAGTTTCCTTTGCAGAAAGTGTTATTTCTCTCACGTGAGATGATGTTTTTTTGTCAGATGGCTTCTCAGATTGGCTAAAAAATGGGGATTGTGGTAAAACCTTAAATGAATTGCTGACTCCTGATCCTGCAGAACCACCTTTTACTGAATTGCCAAAGGGAGATGAAAAGCCTGGCTTCTTGCTTTCTACTGAGTCTAAATCAGGACTGGATGAAGCATCAGAAACTGTGGGTCTGGCGAGAGGACCATGTTTTCCAAATTTGCTTTCATCCTGGTTGTTGGTTTTATCGGCATGATCACATTTTCCAGGGTAAAACTGAGGGAAAACGAATTTTGTGTCTTTGATTTTAAAGGAAAATGTACCTGCATCTTTAGTAAATGTGGGTACCAAGTTGTTACAAGCACCAAAAGTAAAAGGTGAAGGTCCCTCTGCAGAAACATCTAGACATTCTGACTTTGAAACAGTACCAGCTGCTGAGGCTGCTGGGTTTAAGCCAAATGAAGTGCTAGAATTTGTGTCTATATCATTGGAAACAGTAACTGCTGATTCCTGCATTGGCAATTTTTCTTTAGGTCCTAAGTCTTCAGAGCTTTCTACGGCTGGAGTGGCTGCTTCCTGGGAAATTCTCTCAAGAAATGATTTTAAGTCACCATTTGTTTCAGAAGAGTTCATATTTGTGGATGGGATGTTGTGATGACTGGCTCCAGAAAAGCTTTTCTCAAAGCCATCTGCTCTTTGCAGGATTCCAATTTTCACTTTATCTGGACTATTTGCCTTGGGAGGTGAAGATGCAAAAGGAGTTCCTGAGGATCTAGCCTTCAAAGCCCCAGCACCTCCAAATTTATACTTTTTATTTCCAGATAGAGTTTGTGTCTTGACCTCACTGGTGAGCTTCTGATGTTCCGTATAGAATTTGTAACGTAACTCCTACAATCACAGCAAAGAATCCCATTAAGTAAAAGGGCATTTGTGGATTCAGGCATTGCAAAACTCACGTAAGACTGAAGAAAAGATTTCATATTTCTCTAGCACCTATGATGTATATTTCCATTGCTGCTGGAAGGCAACAGAGCATGAGTCACGATGGGAAAACCTTGTTTTAAAACAACTGAACGAGATGCACATGAACCATGATGAAAGTAGTTTTAAAATAGAAGACTACAGAAAACCGTATTTAGTCAGCAACAAAACAAAAAATAGCTAAAAAATACCATCTTAGACATTAAGTGACACATTCTCAAATTGCCATGAAAAATAACCACCTGAGACAAATGTAAATGATGTTTTGGGTTTGTGGTGTTCAGCAGTTTTTTGGTGTTTTTGTGGTGGTGGTTTTTTTGGGTGGGGGTCTGTGGGTTTTCTTCTCCTAGATACAATAAGTATATAACTGGCATTCTCAAGAAGCTCAAAAAAGAAATGCAAAAGAAAAATAATTCTGTCTTTAAAGGACCAAAGTAGCTTTTCAATTTAATCACCTGCCACTGGTGTTCTTGGTACATGCATCATGTGATGCATTGCCAGCCAAGCTTTACCAACTATAACTAGAGTCACTCTGTACAGACAAAAATTCACTCAGCCACCCATATGGAACTCTTAAGTGAAAAAAATGCAGTTGTACAACTAGATCATTGGAAATGAAACCAAAAGAAGCTGGATTCAGTTTCATTTCAAATTAGTAGGAATTTAGGTACTCATAGAAGAATAAATTCTATTTTCTTCAGAAAATAGAACACAGGCAGATGACTTCCTCTTTCTACAAACTGAAAATGGCTAGACAAAGTTGTGTCATAATAAATAGCAAATTGGCCATATTTATAACAGATGTTCAATCATACCTCATGACTCATGTTTTGAGACGTGGACATTTCCGATATCGACATTAGGCGAGTACAAATCCTGCTGCCATCTGCCAGTGCTTCCTCCTGTCCTGCTAGAGGCTGAAAAGTGTTTTGCAGCAGACATTAGAATTCATAGAATCATAGAATGGTTTGAGTTGGAAAGGACCTTACAATGACCTAGTTCCAACCCCCTTGCCATGGCTAGGGACGCCTTACCCTAGACGATATTGCCCAAAGCTCTGACAAATTAGTAGAGTCTTGTAGCCTCATAGTCAGTAACTTACAAGAAACATGTTGGGTGTGTTCTTCTGGTCCTGCCATTGCTTTATGTTATTTTTAAATAGAGTCTTTTTTGTCGAGTCCTCATTTCCCCCAGAAGGTAGATCTAGTACAAAGAAAAGAATAGTGATGGAGAGCATATTAAGTATAGAAAATACAGTAAGGTTCCCGTGCATCTAAAACAGATTCCAATTAGTAAGTACTAAAAGTACATTGCATGAAGTGAGACCTCAATACTTGTCAAACTTTTGATATAAAGCCAGAGGCCTACGTAAGGCATTCTAAATGCCTAGAGATCTGTGCCCTAATAAAAAACCTATTGTTTTGTCCTATGAGGTAAAAGCATTTAATCAGAACATAGTTAACATCCAATTACACTACAACAGATGCCCGTCAGTTCAGCAACATGTTCCTTACAGGGGCAATACTGGTTATACAGGATAATAATAATATTTCCCCCAGGTTCCAAAAATGTAACTTAGGGACTTTCTAGAGAAAGCACATTCATAAAACATATTTAAAAGCCCTTGATTAATTTATCATCCATTAATTTGCTCAGATGCTTTTTAACAACTTCCTTGCTTTTGCCATGCAGATGGTTTACTAGCAATTCGCTCCACAAGTTGCAGGTTCCTATCACAGAAGAGTTAGGGTGGGAAAGGAACTTAAGATCATTTAGTTCCAACCCCCCTGCCATGGGCAGAGACACATCCCACTAAACCATGTCACCCAAGGCTCTGTCCAACCTGGCCTTGAACACCGCCAGGGATGGAGCATTTACAGCTTCCTTTGGCAACCCATTCCAGTGCCCCACCACCCTTGCAGTAAAGAACTTCTTCCTTATATCCACTCTAAACTTCCCCTGTTTAAGTTTAAACCCATTACCCCTTATCCTGTCACTACAGTCCCTAATGAAGAGTCCCTCCCCAGCATCCTTATAGGCTCCCTTCAGATACTGGAATGCTGCTATGATGACTTCCCAAATCTTGTCCTGTATTAGGTCCTTCTTCCCTACCTTTATCAGTGCCTTCATTAACAGGCATTAACTTCAAAGCCAAGATTTTATTAACCACAGGTTTGATATCCATCTTCTTTTGAGTACACTCTGGTGTTTTTTCGTAGCTGGATGCTATGTTCATCAGGTCAAGCTGAGTTTTCATTCTGGAAAAGAAAGAAAAAACAACACAGAACTTAAATGCTTTTCTTAAGGTTCACATGCCAACAACTAAATTACACCTGCCTATTTAATAAAAGAAATAAGTTTGAAAAGAAAACACAAAGGGGAAGAAGAAATCAGAAAAAGTCTTCAATTAAGCGTCCAGTTTCCTAAATCTTTTTTCTTAAAACTTACTATCTGACAATTCCCTTGAATTAGGTTTCATACACAAAGTTGCAAGATGTAGTGCCTGAAGCTAAGCAGAGATCAACACTCCCTCCACCTGTTTTTCTTAGTATGCTATACCTGAATCTAAATTATACCTTTTCTTCAGAGGGCATTGTTAATGTTAGTCTGAATCACAACATATTTTAAGGAACTCCTTTTCCAGTATTCTTTCTTAAACTCTGCTTAAAAAGTCGTAAGAAATGTAATTAAGAATCTTTAGGAAGAAATATACAGGGTATTTGCACTGCAGACAAAAATGAAGACATTGCAGGATCTCCATACATGCTCTTAAACTCAATGATTTTGGTTAAATCTGCAGGGATGCTTCAGTGTTCCTGAGTTTAAATAAGATATCTAAAAAATATTCAGTCACTGTGTATAATGAATTTCTAGACTCAGTTTTTTGCAGGATGCAGCTCAAAAGATTATCTCTAATCCTAGATAGCACACCACTAAAATTCTTGACAGATTTCCTAAACTTTGCAATACTGAGCATCCAAAAATCTGAAAGCATTATAACGTCTTAATTACTAAGTATTACTTTCATTTTAAGTCACTATATCTGACCATATCCAAAGTAACTATTTTCTTAGCTATTAATGTTAAAACTAACAAAGCATGAAAAAAAAAATATATACCTTGCATTCAAGCCACAGGCCACCTATAAATAAAACAAGAATTTGTAAGATACAAATTAATTTTACTCGAGCTCTCAAAAGATTATTGCCTTATCAAAACACTTCAGAGACTGAACTTGCATTTTCATTTCATAGAACTATAGGAAATAAACCTGTTAACATTTAAGAGGAAAAAGGAGAGCATCCAAATGTAAAAATAAAGAAGTGTGTCTGGGTCAATGATATACTTTGTAATATTTTGTGTTAAAGACAAAAAGCACTACTTCAGAGCCAAATGAAGGTATTCAAATAATGAGTCATGAAGTGTATGGTTCTCATTCATTTTGGATACTCAGGTATTTGTAAACATTCAAATGAAAGACCACTTTGTATTTCTTGGTGAGGAAAGCATCTGCTACCTGCTCTAATGGCACTGTTACACCAAGACTAAAAAAAAAAAGCTGTCTTTTAGTCTGAAATCGGCCAGATAAGGACAGTATGAAGTGCACTGCGTTGTAGTCAAATGACACTTCCCAAAGAATGGGCAATGAAAAGTAGAAAACCAAGTGGATTATAGACTGCTTCCCCCTAAAATCCTGGTAATTTCACTGTACTAATTCTTAAATAACAAAACCCCACCTCACTGAGTTGTGTGCTGTTATGGGGGGCAGGTAGAAGGTAGTGAATTTAAAGCATACTACTCACTGGAGTCAGAATATTCCTTCCAAAAGTGGAAGTCGCTTTTACTTTGGGTAAAAGTAAAATTTTCCTCAATAAGTTGTTACCAGAAACTTGAGCAAACTAAGTACTTTCTTAGCTTCAGATTTACCTGAAAGCAGCAAAAAGACCCACTACAGGAAAGAATATGCTGCGGTTTCTTAGGAAAGCACAAACCTTGAAACTGAACACAAAATTCAGTAGCTATTAAAGTATTTTGCTCCTTATCTACCATCTGCTTAAACTCTGTACAACTGCAGCCAGTGTTGGACATAAAACGTTATGAAAAGATGTCTCCTAGCTTAGGTAACAGTGAAGATAAAGCTTGTGTCTTGCGTTCCTCTAGCATTCATCTCTAAATCAGATTGTATGTTTTTTTCCTGCACTTCCCCTGAACACTGTGAGGGAGACTCAGGGTCACTTATACAGAAGCATATATACTACGTAACACACTGTATGTCAGAAGTACCTAAGCTAGCCTTAAATAGGCTGAGTTATTTCCACTGCACACATTTGTGCAAAGTTCACAGGTTTCAGAATCAATATAATTGCCTTAGTTTGGGTAACCCAACATGGTATCCTGCTGTGCAGCACTGACAAGTTACCAACCTGCCACCAATCTTTCCCCAAACAGCATTTTTAGTGTCTTACAAGTTCAAAGATGCAACAGAAGTGCTTAATTAACAAAGCACTTGAAAATAAATATTAAAAAGCAAGTAAATGGGAGAATTTTGAATGCAGTACTAGAAAATTACTCCCTATCTGCACCAAAACTTTCACAGCTGCTAATATAGCAAGTGTTACAGCAGCCCCTTTACAGTCAATTTAAGTAGTTTTCAGTGAACAGCCTAAATGTCTACTGAACTCACTAAATATAAGCTGCAAAGACAGTTTTTTCAACTTTTCTAAAATAAAAAATATGAAGTGTTAAATAATTTTAGTCTGTATTTTTCGTTTGCTGAATTTGTTTTCCCTGATCCAGTAATTTTCATAATCATAACCTACAATACAGGAGGCTATATTTGAGGTTCATTATACAACTGATACTAAATGATAAGAAAAAAGGCCATCACCTCTAGGAAACGCTGAGGATCACACTCATGGACAAGCTCCTCACAATCTTTCAGAAAATTTTCTATGGTCTTCTTGTGAGTTTCCTTCATTTTCTTCCAAATCGCAAATTCCTTTTCTTTTTTACTTCTTTGATTTTCAACATCTTCTAGCAATTGCTGTTTCTTCATTTCCAGAGTCTTGAAGATTTCTCCGAATTCCAGTGCAATCATGTCAGCGTCCTTGTTCAGCACCATCTAGAAGCACCAAAACATAAAACCAGATGAAAACACAGTAATAATGTCTTTAGACACTTTCCCTAGTCAGGATGAGGAGTCACTAGGAGTCACTTCCCTGAGGAAGCTCAGAGCACATTTATGCCACAAAAAAGCACCAGTATGCCCCATGTTGTGATTAACCTACCGTAAGAAAAGAAACAAAGACACACACATATATATATAATACCCAGCATCTGTAACTCACATCCATATCATTCAGTTGATTTGAGATTTCATTCGTCAGCTTCTCATTTATTGTTCTCATTTTTTTCAGACTGCTGAAGAAGATTAACTGCAAGACAATTGAAATGCTTATCATTGCTTTATCTACTCCATAAAGTAAATACATCTCAGTGGTTATCTACGATCATATCATGGCATGCTCTGTACAACACATTAAAGAAAGCCTGTGATTCAAAAGATCTCTTAATAGCATTTAGCGCTTTCCTGGTTCAGTACACAAAATTCTTTTGCTATTTCTCTCTCCAAGGAATGCTCACCTACAATACATATTGCTAGACTTGCTACAGGGTTATAGTTAAAACATTGATTCCCTCAGCCTTAGTTTTCCACCTCTCCCCTCACACACGTATCTATCTCAATGTAAGTGTTAACACTGTTATTCCAGTTCGACAAGCAACTAAACCATATTCACAGGCTTTTATGCTTCACACTGATAACACAGAAAGCTGTGCACAACTCAGTTACTGTTTGGTTTTGAACTAAGATTATCACTGTGTTTTCTTCATCTCACTACAGTGCCATTAAGATTTAGGTAAGAAGACTACTGCAAAGACTATTTCCCCTGGGTTTCCAGAGTGAAGTGTAATTGGTGATCGGAGAGGCGGGAGAGAAATCAGTGCAAAAGCAGCTCTTGGCTTAAAGAATAGTCAGTAGTGTACTTAAACCTTTACATCTATATGCTTCATGCAGCAGCTTCCATTACTGCATAGCAGAACCGATGCACGCCTTGCCACCCTGCACCCCATTTGCATAGGGCACAAAAAGCTCATTCTACCTAATTTTGGCAAAAAGCACAACCACTTGTCACTACAGTCAGCCAACCAAACATTAGGCAAGGCAGTTGCTTTCTTCATTCATTCACACAGGAGTGCATTTTGGTTTTACATTTATTATTAGTTACCTAACCCATCTGTTTCTAAATATGTAATTATCTGTGACCCAAATTACCTACGCCAGCTTAGACAGCCTATAAACAAAGTATCTGTGGGTGGGGCTTTTGTTTTGAACTTGGAAAAACTGGATCTGGACATGCAATAAACTTTCAGCATCGGTGTGTTTTATCAGCGAAGAATGCAGGTCTGTATGTTAAAACAAGACACTCCCTCCTTCATTCCCCTCCCCCGCACTTTTCAGATGCTTTTAATTTGGGTTCAGATCTGTTGGCACTGTAAATCGCCTGGTCCCCTGTATGTGGTGGATGACGTCTGACTGCACACCCCGGTATCCGCAAGCAAATCCGACCACCTGGTTCAAAGAGGCACAATCCCTCGCTGCTTCTCGCCTGCCCACTGCACAGCATTTTCCCCTGCATTTCTGAGTAGAAGCACCTCGGGCAAGGAAGGATACACTGTAGGAGCGCCCAACCTCCCAGCTGGAGCCCTGGCGCGGAGAGGAAGCGCCGCACTTACTTTCTCTTCCTGGTACACAGCGTCTATGAGGTTGACGGAGTGGAAGATGCCTTGGTGCTCCTTAGAGACGCACAGCCCACATCCCGCCTGCCGGCACATCCGGCAGTAGAGCTGCACCAGCCGTCCCGGATGTTTCTGGCAGGTTCCCCCGAGAGCCTGCAGGGAGAGTGGAAACCCCGGCCCCTGCTCTGCCTCTTCGGCCTTGGCGGTCCCGGCCGTGCCGGATCGGTAGAGCCTGACCAACTCCGCCAGGGTGGTGTTGACAGGCAGCGCGGCGGCACCGCCCCGGGGCAGCGGGCAGAGCTTCCTGCACAGCGGGCACGACACCCGGGCGCCGGCCACGTCGTTGCCAGCGCCCGAACCCACCCGGGAGTGGCGGGACTGCCCCTGACCCCGCTGCTGCTGCAGGCGGGCGGCCTCGGCCGAAGCCAGGCACTCCAGCACGCAGTCCCGGCAGAAGTTGTGCGAGCAAAGGGGCAGCGTCACCGGCTCCTCGAAGAGAGACAGGCACACGGCGCACGTCAGGCTGGCCTCCATCTGCAACAAGTAGGTGGGCAGCCGAGAACGGGGCCGCCACTCCTGCTGCCTGGGCTCGCAGGCGACCCGACTAGGCGTTCTCGACTCGCCCCGCTGCACCGGGCCCGGCTCGCAGGCTGCCCCCGGCTCGTCGCGCCGTCCCGCCGCCTCCAGCGTGGCGGCGGCGGGCCCCGGGGAGAGACCCCGATACCCCTCAAGCGTCCAACTTCAACCTCCGCTTCCAACCGCCAACTTTCCAGGAAGTGGAACCCGGCCGCGAGGACAGGGGCAAGGAGAGTCGCGCTGGCGATTGGGGGAAAGGCGAGATTGACACGGCTGCTGTCCAGTCAGGGCAGCCGGGGCCGTGCGGCACCGTGGGGGCGTGGCGCGGGGTTGTCCGTGTGTGACCGCAGCCCCGGCGGGGCGGTGAGTGCTGGGACCCGCCCCCTGACAGGTGCGTGAGGGCCGCGTGCCGGGCCCTGGCACCGCCGCAGCCGTGCTGAGACAGGCGCTGTGCGGGGGTCCTGCCTCGAGCGCTGAGAGGCTGCCTCGGGCTGCGCTCTGTGGAAGCGCGGCGCGAACACGGCGGTGGCGGTTGGGAGACGTGCGAGTGCGCAGAGCTAGAGCCGAGTAACTCCACAGGGCTGAGGTACGGCTGGTGTTAACTGCCTGGAACTACAGCTGTAAGATCATAACGTAATTTAAGATTGGGGTTGTGTTAATGCTGACATATTGGCATAGACTTACAAACTCATCGAAGGGTGTTGGTTGGAAGGGACCTTTAAATGTCACCTTAACTCCCTAGTTGTGGACAGGCGCATCTTTCATTAGGTAAGGTTTTTCAGACGCCCATCAGGTCTTTAACGCTTCTGATAATGGAGCATCCACATCTTCCACTAACAGGGAAATCTATTCCAGTGTCTCAGAACCCTCATTATAAACAGTTTCTTCCTAATGTCCAATCCAAGTCTTCTGTCTTTCAGTTGTAAACCGTTGACTCTTGCTGTGTCACTACAGGCTTTGGTAAAAAGGCTCCCCCCATCTTTCTTACAATGCCCTTTATTTATTGAAAGGCCGCAACGAGCTTTCCGCAGAGTCCTCTCTTCTTCACACTGAACAATCTCATTTGGAGGTGTGTTACCTACTACTATTCATCTCCTTAATTATACCATCTGGGGCATCCTGGAAATACCTCCGTGCTCTGAAGGCTGATACTCAGTTAATTATTAAAATGAGAGAAATGCAAATGGAATTTAAATGTTTAATCTTCCTAGAATTCTCTCAAAGCTATATAATGCTTCCTCTTCCAGGGGTTTCCAGAGCGTGGCACTAAATAAAGAATTGTTTGGCATACTTGATTTCAATATTTTCTTTAGTTTCAAATGGAAAGAAGGAAATGTTAGTAACTATGTGAATACAAAAGCACTCTTAATAGAATGGGGTAGGTTCATAGTTTGGTAGTAACTAAATATTTAAGAGCATAAAACATGAGGTATAAGAACCGTGAAAGAAATTACTTAAAGGGAGAAATTGTGCTGCTAAAAGTAAGTAAAACAAAGCTTTTCTTCAGTATGGAAGTGAGTAGGTTCTTCCAGAGACTATTGTCATGTAAAGTTTGGGAAGTTGTGAGACTAAATGATAAACATACTTTTACATGCAGTTATTTTAATTCTTGCTTCATTAATTTACATTAATCATAGAAACAGAAATATTCATCAGAACCGGAGATAAGAATCATGATCCTGCCAACATTTTTTCCTATCTCAACGAAGATCTAATATTAGCAAATGTATAGCAGTGATTTTTTCTGTTTAAAAAAAATCAGAACTACTCTGTTCTCATTTTTTAGAAACAGAATAGGGATCTCTTACAGTTAGTGTGTTATGAATAGCTTCAGTTTCTATTTAGAATAGATTTATACAGTCTTCAAAGTTCATCTTCTTTAGTAATCTTCAGCATCACCAGCACATATGGCAAGTAAAGCACTCTCATAATGCCCTGAAGCAAAATGCTGCAAGAAAAAAAAAGGAACATTTCTGTAACTGTATGTTTTCTTAATTTTCTTGGTGTGTGACAAGGACTAGACTGATGATGTGAGGTTTTGTAAAATACTGCACTGTTTCCCCAAGAATTCCAGGCTAAGATTGTTTTTAATTTCACATACCTTGGGCTTTGTCTGCTTGGCCACCTAGAGGCATTCTGCCTCTGAAAGGTAGGAGCAGATCTGTTTAATGCTTCTCAAGTTCAATACCAAAACATCACAAGCAATTTCTTAGAGTTACTGCACGCTTACAGTTGGATTAGAGCAACATAAAAAAGGTAAAATGTCTTAGCAAGGGTCATTTTTGTACAATTAAACAGTGTCATAGCAAGAGTACAAGAGGAATAATTCTTCTAAAGATTGAGACTACATAAATGCAGATTTTTATCTCAATTTTGGACAAAAGTGATCTCAAACAAACTTTACCAGACTGTGTGAAAGAAGGTGGTACCAAGTAGTGTAGAAACTATTAATGCAGGCTACTCCTCACCATATACTCTCCTACCCTGTTTATATCCTCCTCTTGCTATAGGGGAGGGACAAAATCACACAGAATGAGAGTAAGTTGAGAATTCACTGTGCCCTGACTGAAGTCAGCTTCAGGCACTGAGAAGATGGGTGGCATGTTTTAGAGTGAGGTGTCCCTGCCTGTGACAGGAGGGTTGGAACTAGATGATCTTAAGGTCCTTTCCAACCCTAACTATTCTATGATTCTAAGATACACTATTTTTTTTTACACATTGCTCTTTTTTATTTTTTTTTTTTTTTGTAAACTGAGTGATGGAAGGGAGATTAGCCCTCTGTATTTTTGTGGTAGGGCTTGGCACAGCCTCTGTGGTGCCATTGCCGAGTATACTCAAAGGTGTTTAAAAACTTACTTTAATGTCATGAAAGAGTGATTTCCCGTATCTCTCTTTGTATCGCTGTCGTATGGTCATCAGGTCAATCTCACTCCTGGCAATAAGAATCCTTATAACTGTTTTATTGTGAAACCCAAAATCCTAGAAAGAAAAGAAGATGAGAGCATACTTGGCAGTTGGACAATATGTGTTTGCCTATCTATATATGCTCATATTAATAGCTAATACGTAAGCCAATTAGTTAGGCTATCCATAAAGAGATCCAAGAAAGAGTCTAAGCATTCAAAGGTTTTATCCTACAGAGTTTTCACATACTCAAATAATATAATTCATGTTACTGGATAACAGAGATTCACCACATATCAGTGATTTGACCATGAATTGAAACTTTTGAATAGGAACACCTTATGAACTGTTGTCAATAGTCTTAGGTACTCTGTTTGTAGGCAGCTGTTGTGACTGTCGTGCAGTCCATTCAAACTATACTGAAGCCAGTAATCTAGCTCACAACTGCTGGCAAATGTGAATGCAGATCTTAAACCAGTGATTTAGAATTTACATGGCTTGTATTCAGCTATGTTTTATATTAACTGTGTCCAAATAATTTGTCATACTGTGGAGAATAGAGACATCTAGTGACAATGAAAGTCATAAGAAAAAGATTTAGGGTTTGGGCAACTGACGAACAGTTTGCATCGTTTAAATCGTAGTTTTATCAACAGCCATTGATTCTGAAATCCTGTTCTCAAAAAAAAAAAAAAGTGTTAAAAAACTGCATATAGAGAATTCCATACATATTTGATGCCTATGTTAAATCTGTCTTATAAACCATTATGGCCTATACACTTAAAAGATTAGCCTTCACAAAGTATACTTTAATTTTACGTAACATAATGCCTCATTATTTTCACTAGTGAATAAAAAAAAAAACAAACAAAAACAAAACAAAAAAAAAAGAAAATGTCTTCAGTGGCCTTTAATATGAAGACTTTGTAGGTGTTTCTTTGCATTTACCCACATTTCTTCTTCTCTCTCATTTGTTTTAGTATGTTAGCACATACACACGAAAAGAACCTGGGACATTGAGTCCCAGAAGAAAGTATGACCAATTTTGTTTATGTAACATTAATTTATGATTTGATTTTTAGTGATACTTTTGAAAACTAGAGACAAAAATTGCATAGTAAGAAAAGTGCACTTTGAGTTCTGCACAGCAGGGGGAGATATAATCCATAGAAAAGAAAGGTTTTCAAGTCAGAAAAAAAGAGGACGAAGTTACCAGACACACCTTTTTAAGGAATCTAAATATTTATACTTTTATTGTTACTGTTACATCCTAACTGTTGCTTAGGCACTGCTGCTTTGAAATTTATGTGTGCAACAATAGTTTTAAAACACACAATCACACCTTAAAGATTGATTGGTCTGATTTGTAAGTTCTTAAGAATAATCAACCAGACATAAAGATAGGGAAGCTAATTTGTGTGATAGGTGAAGAAGAAAGACTACTTACATGGATTGCATTATGAAGCCTGTAAGCAAAGTAGGCAGGCTTGTCACGAACACAGAGAACTAGGAGAGAAGAGTTGCAACAAGTAAACATAAGATTATTATAAAACAATTTCTGTTTGTTTTGGGCATCTATGATGTCATGTCCAGAGATATTTTGTAATTCCTGGAAAACTTGGGGAAAAAGAAAATCTTGCTTTATTCTAGTTCATTAATAATAGTCAGTACAAAGCTGGGTAGTGTTGTCCATGACTCATCTTAAAATCATTTACCTGTCTTCACAAACATAACTACATTTGTAATTTTAAACCTTTATTTTGGGTGGGTGCCCATTGCTGTTGCATCAAGGGACTTACTAAGTATCAGTGAATATACTCACATGATGTCTTTGTAGAAATATTATCATTATTCTATAAATGGAAAACAAAGGCACATAAAGCTTGGAACTTTTTTATATACCACTGAAGTCCTGAAAACTTTGCCAGTTTATTTAATGTGTAGATTCAGTTGGTTATGCAGTTATGATCAATCACACAATTTGTAATCAAATAGCAGATACCAGTTCTGCTCAGTGTGAAGCTAGTGCTGCACATATATGTTTTCAGATTTACACAAACGTGGAAAAATAGTTCACATATTCCTTTCTAATGATCTCTGGAAATCTGGTTACACAATATATTAAAGTGAATAAAAAGATCAGAAAAAAATACATTTAATACATCAGAGATACCATACTAGATTTTAAGAGATTACTGCTGGTGTAAAATAATATTTTTACGTTACCTATTGCAACCAGTAATTCTTGAAAGTATCCATCATAACATTCATTAATGGCATCTACGATGTCTTGCCCGGAGATACTTTGGAACTCCTGGAAAACTTGGGGGGGAATAATCTTGCTTTATTCCAGTTTATTAGTAATGATCAGCTTGCTTTTGTTTTCCTTCTTACCCCCAGTATTATAACTATGGAGTTATATATATACACCCCACCCCACCCCCGTTTATTCTCAGTGTTTCATTAGGCTTATACTCCCCAGGTGAGGCAATTTAAATAAATAGCCTGAAACCTGCCTTCCACGACATTCTCTCTTTGGGTTCTCCAGTAGACAATGAGTGCATGCCAAAGCCTCTGTTTCACTGGGGGCTTCAATAAATTCTCTATCTAGCAACCTCTGTTTACTAAACTTGTAAGAATGTCATGTCATTAAGACAACTTCCTTGCTCAGGTTGGCTAAAATTGGCATAATGCAGGTATCCAGACACACAAATACACAGGGCTTGCTTTCTGCTTTAGGAAAGGGGGAAAATTTTCAACTCACTGTTTACTAGAAAACTTACGGAGGATTGTATTACATGCAGAGCCCTCAAATCACTGTTGCAGAAAGAGAGCAGATCATGACAGAATTAAGTTGTTGATCCATGACAGCAATGTAGTTCTAAGCTACCGTTAGAAGTTGACATAAGAAATAGATCTGGCTGCATAGTGATAAACAGACTATTTTTCCACTGCAGAGCAAAAGACTTTTTGCCACCGACAAGGTACAACAGGTTTCTTTTCTACAGTGGAAGATCTGGATGATCTCACATAAATTTCTTGCAATCTGTAATTATGTCTGATTACTTATTTTAAATAAAAATGTTCCATTATGCTTCTGTTTCTGTGTGTATGTTTGTTACAACAGAGCAGATGTGGACCCTGAAGTGCTTCCATCAAAAACTTCTTTGAAACTTCCAGGGAAAAGCTACGACACAGTAACGTGTTTTCACATACAAACATTTGTTGAAGATACTCCAACTGCCTCTCCCAAGGTGTTTTCCCTCATAACAGAGTTACTTATGAAGAACATAAGAAAAATCTGCCTCATCATGCTGCGTGTAAACTCAGTGCACGCATAGCATATGCTTTTCTTTAGTCATGCATTCTTCTCTCTGTTACTGGGCATCCCGATGTCTGTCCTATCTACAGATGTCTGAAGTCATCAGGCTAAGTTTCAGAATTTTGCATTACTTCCAAAGTCCCATTAGTATCAGTGGGAGTTTGGGAACTCCAACAGTTCGCACTTAGGTTTCAGGCTAATACCCTGCTGCATACTGAGCTTCTTGGTGTGTAAACTGTAGTTTTACTAGATAGTGAGATTTTTCCTTTCCACTCTTTTGTTCAAACAGCTGAACTGCTGGATTACCCATCCACAACTGCTGGTAGCTCTTGTTGCAGAGAATCATTTGCAGCATGTTTTTATGTTCGCCTGTTTTTCGCTGACATGCTTCCCATAGAATCTAACATAGGGAAAAGGGAAACAAATGCAGAAGATTTTAAGTAAGTCCTAAATCACTTCAACATTCATAATTTTTTTTTTTTTTTTTGAGAGGAGCACATGTTTACCATTGCATCCTGAGCAGCTGTAGAAGGATCTGCATAACCTTCCATCCTTGTTCCCTGGGGGGAAAAAAGATACACATATGGGCTTTTAGATTGGATCAGTATATTCAGTGGTTGAATTTGTAACTGTAGAAAATACCTTCAAGTTGTGGTGTTGTATCTTCGCTTCCTTCAAGAAGAAGAACTCTGGAATGACCCATGGTCTTATGAGTAGAAGAAATGGAGGAAGTGGGTAAGCCTACCCCTTTTTTAGTCCCATTGTAAATGAGCTTTTACTTTACCACGCCCATCCCATCACCATTTCCAGTATTACTGATGCTATATTGTTTACTGTAATATATAACTATGAGGGGAAAACAAGGGTAAGAGTAACATTTGCCATTCACTGATTATTTCTTATCAGAGTTGCCCCAGACCTCTTCATCAGTATTTGTGCTGTAAGAAAATAAGGACTAATAATGTAGTCCCAGATAATTTAAATGTGTTCTTTTGATGAGTAAAATGTGTCTCATTTATTTAATATACATGAGAAGTGAGGTTGCTTAACCTGTAGCTCTTCATGTTTAAGCAGGGATAAATTTTCATTACTGGGGGAAAAAACATCCAACATTAGAAAATAAATGCTTCCTGTTTATAGTTTCTACGTTTGAAACATTTGCTCTTTATCTCTCTATCTCAGTAAAGTCTGCTGCTATTTCAGGTCTTACTGTTTTCCCCAGACATATATATTATGCTATACCTTGTGTATGCTGTTATCTCCTGGCAGTCTTTTTTTGTCACTATACTTTTGTTTAAAAAGGACTTTTAATATAATGAGCACAGTGACTATAGTGAGAATGGGAACTCAGTATCTGACAAAGTTGACCAGCATTGTAATATAATACTCCAAGTTGGTAACTGCCAGAGTTGGTGTGTTGATAGTGAGAATTTGACTCCATGCAAAAGTATTGTGATTTAGCATAGGCAGTAACACAAAGAACATAATGTTTTAAAAAACTATTTAATGCTTACTTTCATAGTCAAATGTGGATATATCTCCTTTTTTACATAATGCCTAAACTGAATTATGAACTGTATATCCTAACGATGGAGAAAAGAGGTCTTTAAAAATGAGAAGCTCATTTGTACATGCACACAGACTCCTTTTGAGATGAGACAGGTTGAGCAGAGGGCCAGCAGTTGAATATCCAGGGACTTACTCAATAAAATAGTCTGTTGACCTTTGCCTCCATCTGAAAGCAAAAGTCAAAGTAGATGAAGGAATTCAAGTTCTCTTCTTCTTTTGCTTTCCACTTTTTTGTTCAAAAGTGTAGCCCTATTGAACTAGCTGTAACCACAGTCACCTTAAAATTTAAGACTTCTTAAATATTATCAAAAGTTATGAATTTTTTAGAAATGCAAGTATACTACTTGTTCTTACGGTACCTGAGCAAGGTTCATGAGTGTATCTCTGAAGTGGCCTGAAGTCTCAGAATCGATATCTTGTTGAAGATCATTATTATATTCTAGGGTGAACCAAAAAACATATAATCTACATCACAAATGAACATATTCTGAATAGCACTAATCTAGCAAACAAAGGAAAAATAAACAGGGTGCAAATACTTGTCCATTTTCTGTGGTGATTGTTCCACAGTAACCCAAAGCAGGTTCTACATGGAGCTAGGTCTGTCTGGGCCCTGCCAGGTGCTTCTGCCTGCTGGGGGGCCTTAGCCTGTGCTCTGCCTCACCTCTCCACCCACCCATGGGTGCTGTGTGGTGGCAGGATACTCAAATGTCTCATCAAGGCAGGTGAGTGGAGCATCCAGCCTGAGTAAGGACTTTTTGAAGGAAAACAGGTACTGTACTTTTTTTGAATAAAGTATGCAGAAGTCTCTGAAAAGCCCCAAATGTGTCTTCAGAGTATTTCAAATGTCATAGGCAGCAATACACCTCAAAATCCCATGGTGTATTTTCAAATTAAAACATTCTGCTCCAGCCTTTTGAATATAGTTACGGGAGGAAGGGAACAAGTTAGTACTGAGAAATCATTTTTGTAGTTCAGTTCCTTCATATGTGCTAATACTTTGGGAGAACACATAGTATAACTACTACTTTGCACTTGTAAGACACTTTACGCATTAAGTAGGCTTCTTTCATCTGGAAGATCTCCATATTTGTTCTTGAGGCTAGTATATCAATTAGGCATTTTTCTTCTGTGTCTACTCCCTGTGTGGAAAGAATTAAGTATGAAAAGTTGTTAGCAGAAACCACAGCCTTTAGAAGACAGCAGTACTGTGCTTATCAGAAGTAACAAAACAATTAAAAGCAGTTTCTGTTGGAGCAAAGCAGAGTGTACTTTTTGCATAGTCTACCTGTTTAAATAGAAAATGATTTCAGATGAATAATAGAGCCCTGTATTTCAAATATATTCCTACTTGATCTGAATTTCAGCATGTAGATTAACAAGGGGAATGAAGTAAGACTGGTGTTGGCAGAAACATAATAGGTAGAATTTTAGAGCTTTAGTAAGAATTTGAAAGAAATCAGATTCAAAGATTGAGCATATATCCCCAGCAAGCAAGTGTTCAGGCAATCTGAAGTAGATATGAGCACAACTATTATGTTTTGCTTTTTTTTTAATTTTATTTTTATTTATTTAGGAATATTAATGGACTCTATGTCTACTGCAGAACTTGTTATTTAAGGTAAGCAGTATGGCCATGTATGCAGAGCTGCAAATCACTGTATTTTCCCATAAAATCTGAGTTAATTTTATAAACTTGAATTGACACAAAATATGCTGCTTCTAATAGACACAGGTGTGGTGTTGGTGAGTATTCTGTATTTAGGATAATGGGGAGAACATGACATTGGGCCTGAGCCTGGAGACACACATGGCCTGTTTTTCACTTTGGCTGTATAAATCCAGGTCAAGATAGAAAGTTAAAATCAAGATAAGAAAAATATAACTTTAGCAATCTTGTCAATAGTTTTAATAAAAATCCTGCCTGCAGTGCTACCAATGATATTTCACAATTCTTTAATGCCAACCACAATTAAAAATGAAGCAGTAGTCCTAAAAAATGCGTTGGTTTAAGTGTCTGAAGGACAAGAAAAAAACTGTTTTCTTTTTTGAGGTGTTTCTCCAATTAATTTTGTTTGTGACGTACATACATGCTTGCAGGATCAGGGCTTTTTCCCTGTATAAATATTTCTTCAGTTACTGAGTTTACCATGGGTATTAAATCGGTTGTATTTATTACATGACAAGGGTATTATTGATGGTGGTTTTAGCATACCGTTGAATAAACTTCATATAGCACTGTATTTCTGATGACCTAGAGTACTATGTAGTAGTACACTATATGTAGTAGTACACTATCTAGTGTATTAACTTCCAGCTGTTTATCAACTGTTTGAATGTAAAAAAAAAATAAAATCAATTTAACCTGTTCAGCACTATAATTAGTGACTGAGACTCTTAAGAAACACTGAATTTGACAGGTACCTTCAAGGCATGCCAGAGCTCGTGGGCATCATAGGAGGCAGGTGGATACATCAAGCCAACCATGACTTCTTTCAGGTGATGAGAGAGATTCTCCTTTAGGTCCGTTATCAGATCCTTGAAAATAAAAAGGCGTAGACAGGATCATTTCAGTAGTCACACTTGATTAGGACAACTTTAAAAATGTATCTGTGATTTTCTCTACAAATGAATAAAGATGAGCTATTGAAGATTAATTCTGGCTAAAATTAAGTAAGAAAGATATTCTTTTAAATAGTACCTGCTTCTTCTAATAGTATGGATGAGATGACAATAGATACACAAGCCAGCAGACCATATAGGATTGTTGATTTTTTGGTTCATTAGAAGACAAAAGAAAATTCAGGGCTTTAAGTGCTACTACTACTTAAAGGCTTGTCAGCTTGAATACCACTGCAAAGCATCTGCAGCTCCCTTGGCACATTCCCTGTGTGAATCCGTGGGAGCAAAGCACCTTTGGAATTCAAATCCCATGAACACAGGCAGTTTCTTCTGCCTTTTTCAGTGTTATCTACTATATGAATAATTTAAATCATCCATATTGCTTCTAATACATAAAAACACCTGCTTTGGATTACTGGTTATGTGCTCCAGTTTGTGTGTATATTACACTCAAAGTGAATTCACACCTTGTGACAGATGCTAAAGTAAGAAAAAGGAACCCTCTTCTTCCCCGGCATGTGTCTCGGTACTTGCTTGCCAGGTACCAGAGTAATGGATGGGAGTTTCCTTCTCACTCTCCCCTTTCCCAATAGCATCCTTCAAAACAGTGCAAATGCCAAAGCTTGTTAGTTACACTGTTACAGTTTCTGATTAAGAGGATACTTGTGCACTAATTTTTTTTTATGTGTCTTGCATACGGTGCTAGGCAGCTGTCAGATATTTTTGGACCTAAGTCTGAATTTAAAGGCGTACCAGAAACAGTTCCCATTATAGAAACTATTGTTTTCGGAGCTGCAGCTTTTTCAAGCCTGTAATTTGGTTTTGATACATTCTGAATATAATTAAATTAGTAGCTAGAACAGCAATGCATGGGGACATATCCACATTAAAAATTGAATTTATGATGAAGAAACATACGCAGTCTTCAGTGAAAGCACATTGGATGCATTTGGCAGCCACTAAATCACACATGAAGTAGGAATTCATTCATTAAGACTTTACTTCTGACTACATGCCTGTGGGAAGATGGATTAGTAATAGTTAAAAATTACTCCTGCAATCAGAACTAAGGGAAATACTGAAAAATAAGAGAACTAAGTTGTCATTAGTAACATTTCCTAATCATCTCTGTTGTAGAGAGCCTGGAAGACTAATTGTAAGAAGAAATCTTAGGGCCAGTTCAGGGTTTTACTTTCTTTTTCTATATTTATTTCTACTTCTGACGTGTCACGCTTTACATTTGTCAAATGAATGAGAACAGTAGCAACCATATTGAGCAGACTGAATTGAAATTAAAGAGGGTTTAGGATTGAACTGACAGGTTTACCATAGATGAAACTGAGAATGCTATAGTTGTTACTACATAGCTGTGTCTTCTCTGTTGTGCAGAGTTTGCCACTCATAAACTGGGACTGCCAAATGGCACATTTGCCCAATGCAGTGTGTCCCGTAATATGGATTACAGCCAGTGAAATGCTATCACCAGTGTGTGCTAAACTGTCTTCTGAAGTGTAAACTGTAGCATGTCAGGGCAAGACACATCCCATCCTAGAAAACTGCTCAGCTATCCAAAAAAGAAAATACACCGTTCAACTGGTGAACAGACAAATGGTGTAACACGCTACCACATCAGCAGTTACTGTGGAGTTTGTGAATGATCCATTTCTAGTTAACTCTAAGGCTGATGGCTACACGGTAGTATTTCTGCAGACTCACTGTCCTCACTCATGCTGATGGATTCAGTGGCAACTATACACTGACCTTCAAAGCATTTTCCAGTGAGCCATTAGGTTTTCAGTCTTCAGGAGAAGAAAAAAGTTGGATTTTTTTTTTTTTTTTAATTTTGGCTGTCTTCTGTGAGGGGAAGGGCATGTCTGGTCAATTTAATCAGAGCATTTTCTTTACCTTTCCAATACAGCACTTTTCATCGCTAGATTTCACAGGGATTTTACAAAAGGTGTTGCTGTTATTTTTGTCCTTATATACTTATTTTGTCCTTATATAGCTGAGGTAACTGAGGAAAATGCAGGCATTTTAACATTCCCAAATTCATTTAGTTAGCAATAGTAGATCTAAAATAGAATGAGGATAACTATCTCTGTGTATGTTTTTATATATAGTAAATATGGGTAATTTTTTGGGGGGTTTGTTTTGGTTCTTTTTTTTTAAAAAAGCTGTCTTTTTATGTCTTGAAAGAAGCTTATGGAAGGTGGAAGGGAGGACAGACAAGCTGGGAAGAATACAGGGACATTGTCTGGAAAGCTAGGAATCAGGTCAGGAAAGCTAAGGCCCAGTCAGAATTGAGTCTGGCCAGGATGGCCTCACGCAAAGAGTTACGGTCAATGGCTCAATACCCATTAATTGACCAGTAATAACTTGTGTCCCTCAGTGGTCTTTTGGTGACATCTTTGTTGGTGACATGGGCAGTGGGATTGAGTGCGCCCTCAAGCAAGTCTGCTGATGACACCAAGCTGTGTGATTCGGTTGATACGCTGGAGGGAAGGAATGCCATCCAGAGGGACCTCGACACGCTTATGAGGTGGGCTGATGCCAACCTTATGAAGTTTAACCATGCCAAGTGCAAGGTCCTACACCTGAGTTGGAGCAATCCCAGGCACAGCCATAAGTTGGGCAGAGAAGAGGTTCAGAGCAGCCCTGCAGAGAAGGACTTGGGGGTGTTGGTCGATGAGGAAATGAACATGAGCCGCAGTGTGCGCTTGCAGCCCAGAAAGCCAACCATATCCTGGGCTGCATCAAAAGGAGCATGACCAGCAGGTTGAAGGAGGTGATCCTGTCCCTTTAGTCTGCTCAGTGTTGTGTGCAGTTCTGGTGTCCTCGACATAAAAAGGACATGGAACTGTTGGAACAAGTCCAGAGGAGGGCCACGAGGATGATCAGGGGACTGGAGCACCTCCCTTATGAAGATAGGCTGAGAAAGTTGGGGCTGTTCAGCCTGGAGAAGAGAAGGCTGTGTGGAGACCTCATAGCAGCCTTCCAGTATCTGAAGGGGGCCTACAAGGGTGCTGGGGAGGGACTCTTCATTAGGGACTGTAGCGACAGGACAAGGGGTAATGGTTTAAACTGAAACAGGAGAAGTCAGAAATAAGGAAGAAGTTCTTTTCTGTAAGGGTGGTGAGGCCCTGGAACAGGCTGCCTGAAGAAATGGTAGATCTCTGGCAGTGTTCAAGTCCAGGTTGGACAGAGCCTTGGGTGACATGGTCTAGTGTGAGGTGTCCCTGCCCATGGCAGCGGGGTTGGAGCTAGATGATCTTAAGGTCCTTTTCAATCCTAACCATTCTATGTTTCTACGATTCTAAATTTTTTGAAACACCTTTTAGGGATTCATAAATTTAACATTAAGCAGCTCAGACAAGTATTGTGCTTAGATTATGAATGGAATTACATGGTATGATGTCTGAGAATGTTGGTGCTTGAGATAAGAATATAAAACAGTGCATCAGATACAACTACTTGTAATTGCTGGTATGGTGTTTCTCTTTGGTGTTTCAACCCAAATGCAATACTACTTTACTATGTGTTCCAAAAAACTTTAAGAAGTAATGCAGAACCCTGCAAAAGCATATAGACAAAGAAATAAGTCTGTCCAGAAATTCTGCTTTGGTCAATAAAGGAGGGGAATGAACTAGGAACTGGTCATGTCCCCTTTCTTTAACTTTGTGAGTGGCAGATGTACTTCTGCTGTTATATAGATGACAATATGAAACTTTCAGAGGTATCAGTAGTTACATGAGCAAAGTTGTGTGCCAGTCTGTTGGTGTCAGCCAGCTGCCTGACAGGCTTTTGGTTCCAGTGACTGACCTGAGAGAAGGGCTGAGCAACTGCACTGGATACAGGAGAGACAGAAGTAATGAAAGTACAAAGCGCTGTGTCATACCCTGCCGTACATGTCTCTGTACGCCTCAGCAATCATAAGCCGCTGTGAATTGCAGCGCTGTGTGAGGATATCAATCAACACATCTTTTTCACAACCTGTAATGGAAACACGAAACAGACTCTAAATTAACAAAGTGTTGTTACATACTTACATTCATGATTATTCATGTTTTGTTCAAGAAAATTAAAGTTATTTCTTGAAAAAACAGATAAATGGATTAATATCCTGCTGGTATGTACTAACATCAGTGATATTTACAGTGCTTATATACCTTTCATTTGCTGGAGTAATACTAGCAAAAAGTGAAGTAGCCTGTTATTATCAGGTGCATCACCATCTCTCTGAAGCTCAATGAATTTTGAAAGCATCAATAAAACAGATATAGAGGCTTTCATCTATTCAGAACAAGGCACATTAGCAGAGTTTGTGGCTGAGCCTGGGAAGTCATACTTGTATGCCTTATTGATATTGAATAAATTGTCATTTCAGGATTAGGGATCTCTTATGGGGATGAAAAATTATGATCAGACAATTTGAAGAACTGAAAGATACATATTTTCAAAGGAACTGTATAAGTTATGAAGTTTTTAAAAAATACAATATTTTCACCCATTTCCAAGGGCATATTATTGAAGGTTACCTATGATCTTTTGCTTCATGGCAGGAGAATGCTGCTAAACTTCTATAATGAATTAGTATTTCCTGCTTATAAAAAAAAAACATACTCTGAAAACCATTGTATAACTTAAAAATTTTCTTTCGTCCCAAAAGTTGGCTCTTGAAAATTTCAGATGCCTGAGTATTTTAATGAAATCCAGCATAAATATATCTCCAGGTATAAATCAATTGACTTTATCATATTTGCAGCAGAGATGAATTAGGCTGGAAAGCATGGGGATCAGCTAGCATCTGAATGGAGTAGAGCAGACTCTCAAGTTTCTACCAGTCATTGTTATATGGGCATGTATGTATGTCTTACAGATACACATTCTGTTCCTATCACAGCTTCTTTAGGCAGATTTTATTATATGATCTATAACTGACAGGCTTTATTTTGACACAAATGTAATTGGACATTGAATATATATATATTTTTTTTTAAGCTGGCAGAGGAAGTCTCTATTTGCTCATTATGCAGCAGGTTGAGTTCTCTTTCTTCTGAATCATCTAGCCACAATTACATCAGCTTTTTAGTAAGACTGATTTAACATCAGTCTGATTCATTTCTGTCAGGCTCACAAAATGGAAGTATTGCTGCAACTGTACAAAGGATTTCTTACTATGTTTTTTAGAAAAGAATGATTACTAGGAATCTGTACAGTTTATATCATCCTACAGTAAAAGACAAGAATAATTCAGGAAAGGTTTAAAAACCGAAATAACTTTATTCTATTGTGTAGTACCAGTGGTATCAGTGGGACAGTATGGGACTGAACATTCTCACAAGAATGAATGTCATGTGCAAGATTCAGGGTGAGGTTGTCAGTTCCTGTAAAGGTTATAGAGACTTAAACTTCTTTGATGCTGAACTTTTTCTTTTGCCAGGGGTCCTTTAAATTACAACTTTGTTCCATGGACTTTGTTAGGTAAATGAAAAGTGAGGTTAACACACATGGATTTACAGTATTAAATGAAGACAATCATTTCTGGATTGTTGTGTAAGCGGCGTGGCATTAAAAGTACTGTTTGAAGTTTAGCAAAATGTTTAAAACTTTTCATCTGTAGCCAACTTAATCGGAAAGATACTTCAGATTCCCCTTGGTCAATAATTCTCATTGTGCTTCATTTGACTGAGTCCTTACATTTCCATTAAAGTCTGAGTCCTTACATTCCATTAAAGAAACTGAAAACAGTGCAAGATTTGGTGCTGTACAACCTTGTGAAAAGCCCAAGGGATATAAAAATTTGGATACGGGAACCAATTTTAATGTGAGGAAAATGTTTCAGCTAGTAAAAAAAAAAGGAATCAATATTCTGACCCTCAGCAATACCAACAGTGTTCAGCAGGAAAACACAAAGATCTAAAAAGAGAACAATGCTTTGATGAACAATTTTTTTTCTTGGTACATAGACTGAAAGCAAAAATTACTCCTGAGTGATATATAATACTGTAACTTTCTACTCCATTTATTTTTATTTCTTGATGACTGATTAAAAGACTTAACAGTCCCTGCTAATAATTAATTCTTGAAGTTACAATTACAAACCTTTCCTTTTTTGGCCTTCACTGTAGTGACATAACACAGAATTCTGTTTTCTTTTTCTTATTTTCTCCAGCAAAGCATTCATTACTGTAAGTGTTGGTACAGATTTTAGATTAATCTTAATCACCTCTTAGTTTCTGTAAATGCAAATATGTTATTTGTTTGGACATCACCAGTGTCTTATTGTGACCTTGAAGAATCAACAGATATTTGGTGACATTTTTAATTTTATGAACTTTTGCCTAATGCTTTTTACTTTCTGAGAACTTTCTAACACCCCCATCCCCCCAACAACAACAACAAAAGTGTTAGGATTAGTCATGATACTCACTGATTCCCTGTAGGGCTCCTCCTAGCAACTGGGCATCCATAACAGGGTTAAAATTTGGAGCAGGAAAAATGGTTCCTTGTGTCAGCTAAAGGAGAAAGCAGCCTTTAAATAAGGTGTTTTACATCTGTAACACTTCATATATGATTCTGTTGAAAACCAACAATGATAATATTAAATTATCTTTGCTTCATGGGGAACAGGATGCAGAAAGTTTTGAATTATGAAACAGAACCTAAACTTGCAGTAAGTCCTGGGAAGACAGACGATATTTGAGGAAGTCACCCCTAGCATGAGTTAGGCCTAAAAAAAATCCCCAAACTAATTCTAAATAACTTTTTTTCACTATAATGTAATCACATTTTTGTTCCTCTCTTCCAACCTTTTTCTAAAATTCCTATTTTATCTTTCAAAGTTAATCCATGATTTCCCTGACAGTCTTCAATATTTATTTCTCATGATATTTCTAATTTGAAAGGACTAGTGAGGAAATGATAAATTAAATGTATAGGTGATTTTTAAATACATATATAATACATAATCTCTGTGTAATACAGTGTTTTTTTAAATAAATGATGTTACTGTAAAATGTCAGGTAGCTTTCTGATATTCCATGTAGAAGTCAGCACTCTTTTTCTTTGTAACTCATTAAATTACAGTCACTTCATTCTCAGTGATACTTTATTTCATTTTTAAGAAATCTGTGAATAATAAACAGAACTGGTGTATTCATTTGAATAGAGTCACAGGCCCATACGTATACAGAAGAAAATAACTGAGCTTGAAAGTCACTTTATATTGTCCCCTGGTTAACCTCGTTAGTTCCTCTCAGGGTTCTACCTGCTTTCCAAGATGCACCAAATATAAAGATTATCTTTTATAATGACTCCTTGTCTCAGTCAGTACATGATTAAAATGACACTGTTGACATGTACATTTCAAGGAAAAATGGGATATGTTTTATAAGTACAAATTAGGTATTTTATGTCTTTAGTACTTCCTGGAATAAGGACTTGCAATAGTTACACTAATTAATTTATTTGCCTGCTTTACATACACTTCAAAGCCTTTTGTATGTTATGCCTTCTGTAGTAATGACATACACGTACAGATTTCATGTATGGTCTCTAATCAAGGCTTTTCTGGCTTGCAATTTTAGCAAAGGAATTAAAAAGCACCAAGCAAGAAGTCAGTATTTTAGATTAGAATGAAAACATAATTTCTTAAGAAATTTTATCATTACTTTAGACCCCCCAAGCCAAGGTAGGGGCAATAAATTGTCAGGGGCTAAGTGAGGAAAAGAACGTATGGTCAGAAATTTAAGATTTTTAAAGAAGTCGCTTGAAAAAGTACTAACAAAGCAACATGCCTTTACAAAAGGAAGAAAGTACTCACTAGTAGAGAAATATTCTCCTGCCTTTTACTTATTTAAATACAAGGACCTACTTTTACAACTGAACATAAAATGAATAGTGCCTTTTTACTCATTAAAACAATCAGGAAAATTATGAGGAAAAAAAAATCTTGTGGAGATATGGAGATAAATACTGGCCATAGAGAAGACGATGAGACCATAGCAGTTTTTTATAGGTTGATGTATGTTGTCACATCTAAAATGAATTGCAGACTCATCCTTAAGATATATGCGCCATCCCATCCTCCTTTGTCAGCGTGGGAATTGTTTCTGTAGCCTGGGCTTCACTTGTCGCTTAGTGTATCTCTAGGGTAGGGCTCTGCAGATACTAGCCTCAGAAATTGAGAGTTTATATCCTCATGACATCATAGTTACTGACAGTACCCATACTTCTTCAGATCTTGCTCACCAGAATTTTCCTAGGCACATGCCATTTGCAGCCGTACAGAGTTGGAGTGCTGTTTGGCTAGGTGGTATGTGGGGCTCCATTTCCTCCCCCTTGTTAGCATGTCAAATAATGCTGTTCTTAGCATTATTTGGCATTATTCAGTCATCACTCTCTACAGCTCAGGAGGTAGAAGTGCTTGAGTTCTGTGCCTGGTGAACTGGGCAAACCAGCTCAAAGCTTATTAATAAACAAAATGCCTGTGGAAGGAAGTGCTAGAAGAAACTGTTAGAATGCAGAATCAAAAATATATATTGATACGTGTTCTGAGTTAGAAAAAAAAATAAATTTGGCTTTCTTACTTATGCTCCCTGAAGTACCTGAGACAAAAATGCTCATCAGTCTTGAGGGGAAAAACAGAACAACTGAAAACCCAACACATTATTAAATATTATGATAAGGTTGTCAAAAGAGAAGACATTTTGATGAGAATAATAATAAAAAATAGTAGGATGCAAATGGATGAAGGAAACAGATATGAGATTCAAAGACTTTGAGCCTGCACTCTAAACAAAAGGTAGAAAGCAGAAGTTTATCTGGCATTCCATGTGAGTGCTCTCTGAACCTGTCACAGCCGTTGCTGGTGTGAGTTCAGCATGATTACACAGTGAAAGCCTACCACTTGCTGTGTGTTGTAGCCTTTTTCTTCTATGTCCACTAGCAAATAATTTAAGAGTGCTGTGTGATATTTACTGTGGAAAGAAAAGCCAAGGAGATTTACTGGTAGACAGTTCAGTGGAGACAGGGATTGATTCTTGGATGCTGCAGTACTGTCTGTGCCCCTCTGAAGTAAATCCGGGGTGGACAATCTATACCCCTGTCACAGAGGACCGGGCCTTAGGGCCATGGCGGCAGGTGGCGCTACTGTCCTGTGGTGACAGGTTGCTACACAGCAGGCAAGAAGGAAAAAATTGCTGCAAAAGCAATGCACAAACCAAGAGGTTGATTTTCTGAGCAACTGACTGCCCTACTGCCCTTTGATGTAGTTTTATGGGGAGAGCAAAAGCATGAAAGAGATGGTGTAATTTTAAGTTGTGGAGCAAGACTGAATGCTTACAATAATCTCCTGTACTGAGAGATAAACTTAGAAGTTGTGGCAGGAATTTGTTTTTCAAAGATTTGTTACAGTCTTGTCATATTAGAAACATCTGTGGTCACAACATTCTTCTGTTTGACATTCCTCAGGAAAACAAGGAAATACATCAAAACAGCAGTCATTTTGGGAAAGCTGGGGCTCTGCTTCCAGGATGTATGGCCCAGGGTGCAAAATCATGTTTCCCCCCAAATTATACAGGGTTTGCATGTCTAGGAAATGCAGACATAGCAGCAGGGTTCATCACTGCACAAACTGAGGGGGCAGAACAGTAGAGGCATTTGGTAACTGAATGAAATTAGGACAGATTGAATTTTGATCAGGGAGCAAGCAGCTACATGGGAATAGGTTGTTCCTTTCCATTATCTTTGATTAGAGAATTCCTACTGCCCTGTTTGGAAGCAGGTCATTTTTAGTGTTGACTGAACACCTGAGCATAGTTACAGGTACTGCTACTTCACTTCATTCATTTTCCCTGAAGTCAGCTGTGACTGACCATAAACTCCTGTAATTGAACAAGGCTCAGAGGGGCTGGGTAAGGGCAGTGTGCCCATGAAGCTCCGGGAATAATGCAGGGTATGACTCACCACAGATGCTGTGAGGAAAGCTGATTTTATCTCAACACAAAGGGGACTGAGGGTGGCCTTTATTTTAGATAAACAGCTATCAAGAGTTGAGTGGATGAAGTGGTGGTGTGAATGTTTATACCTGACTTCATTAAAAGGGTGTGAATGTCTCCTTAAGTTAGTCATACCAGCATGAGGGGAATCAATACTTGTGAGTCTCAGCCCAATACAGTGTAAATACCCAACAACTAGCAAAATAATTCGGGAGAGAGCAGTGGGCTTGAGCTAGCTTTCCAGTGACTGGGGATGCCTAACACTGTAGCAGTGAGCATATCATAAAAAAGGAATGGGGATGTCATCAATATTACATTTGTATTGTATTTTCAGTACATTTTGTACTCCTCTGCTAGATTGAAAATCCTGAGTAAAATTACTTATCATGAAACAAGTAAATTTGATATTTTACAATAAAACCTCTATGCATGGAATATCTAAAAGAACCTGTTGAAAGAATATTGCACTGTTGACAGTAGGATGGCCAGTTTCGAGTCTATGGCCATTTTGTTTTCCTCACACATCTTTTTCTCCCTTAAACTCTAAAAAGCATAGGGAAATGGATAGTATGATCTTGTGACTTTTCTTCCACATCCATCAGGATGGTCACTGCAGGGATGCTAAGGCATTCCCCTGTTGAGATTTTCCTTATTTAATGTTTAGTTTTAAAAATACATTTAATTCTTCCAAATATCCACAGCATCCACTGATGCTGAACAGCAAATGAAATTTATGTGAAAGAAAAAAGTTGCCTACATAGAGAAGACATAACCTTTAAACACCCTCCAGTGAATAAAATGTCCAACTGGGTTCTGAGTAATTCAAGCAACAGCTCCCCATCGATTAGGGTGAATTATTAGGAAGGCCAAAGCACTGGTACCATCACCAGATTCCAACAGCTTTGAGGCAGCAAGCGCATTACAATAACTCCTTCTGAAGATTAGTTGGAAATATTTCACAGGACCAGAGAGCACATCATAAATCAAAGTGAATAAAAGCTTGCAGAATCGCTACAGCTTCCTCTGCAGAATAGAAAACATGAGGTGGCAACTGCTATGAGACAGACCATTGAGAATTACGGTGATGATCATCTTAAAAAAAAAAAAAAAAGGAGTGGAGGTGTGTCAATGCACCCAATTCATGCTTTTATCAGAAGCCATCCTAGATAGAAACAGCATAAAAACCAATCATTGTTGTGCCCAGCAAGAGCAGTAGTAAATTATGAGAAAAATCAGTACGGAGCATGTTCTGCACCTTGAGCAGTAGACTGCTATAGAATAAAGACAAAAGAATTCAGAAGAATAGGATCAGCAGAACAGTGGCTTAAGGAGGGAGAGAAAGGCTAGGATTGCACTGACATCATCTCTCCCATCTCTCCCTTTCTTAAGGAATAATTTGACAATTAAAGTCATTATTGTTTAATTGTAGTTCAGCGCTTCTAGATTATAATGTTAAGAATTCAATTCCAGCATTTCGTCTACAGGCTAAGTTTCTTTGATTTATAGAAAAGCAGGCA